AATGTGCAAGTTAGGTGGATTGGCCACGCTAAGTTGCCGACAGTGTCCAGTGATGCGTAGGTTAGGTGCATTAGTCATGGGAAATGCAGGGTTACAAGGATAGGATGGGGGCCTGGGACAGGGTGGGATGCTCTTTGGTGGGTCGCTGTGGACCCAATGGGCCAAATGGCCTGCATCCACACTGTAGGGATTCTATGATAATTCTATGATTTGCAAATCAATCAGCACTCTTCTCTTGTACAGTATAGATATATATTGTTTTCCCTTTGCATTGGTATATAAGGTGAATTTCCTAAATCCTGATCCTAAGTGTTCTCCCTGGTATAGGATGGATGTTGTAAAACTTGAAAGGGTTCAGAAAAGATTTACGAGAATGTTGCCAGGGTTGGAGGATTTGAGCTAAAGGGAGAGGCTGAATAGGCTGGGGCAATTTTCCCTGGAGCATTGGTGACCTTTATAAAATCATGAGGGACATGGATAGGGTAAATAGACAAGGTCTTTTCCCCAGGGTGGGGGAGCCCAAAACCAGAGGGCAAAGGTTTAAGTGCGAGGGGGAAGACATAAAAAGAACCTAAGGGGCAACATTTTCATGCAGAGGGTGGTTGTAGATGGAATGAGGTGCTAGAGGAAATGATGGAGGCTGGTACGATTACAACTTTTAAAAATCATCTGGATGGTTAAACGAATAGGAAAGGTTTAGCAGGATAAGGGCCAAATGCTGACAAATGGGACTAGATTTATGTAGGATATTTGGTCGGCATGGACGAGTTGGACCGAAGGGTCTGTTTCCACACAGTATATCTCTATGACTCTATAACTGTATGACTGTCAGATGAAAAGATTCAACAATATGTGCCTTTTTTCAGCAATAATCATGGGATTCCTTTATTCCCACTTCCTGGATTTGGTAACACAGGCTAGCATGCTATAGAGCACTCACTGAGCTTGGCAAACCCAGTTCAAGTCAAGGATTTAATCTGGACTTTCCTGCAGTGCAATCTTCCCATGTTTTAAAGTACAATTATCCATGGAGTCTACAAGATGACGAATCTTTTGTTGTTCTATAAAAATAAATATATTCACATGAAATCTGGGAGGCAAAGCAGCAGCTGGGTAATGGAAATACTGGGATTTCTACTGAGTCAAATTTGAAGTGTGGAAAACCAAAGAACGGTGGATGCTGGAAGTCAGAACCAAAAACAGGAATTGCTGGAAAAACTCAGCAGGTCTGGCAGCAATCTGTGGAGAGAAAGTAGAGTTAACATTTCAGGTCCAGTGACCCTTCTTCTGAACTTTATAACCAGAAAGTTCTGGTTATAATGCTTGTGATGTATAAACTGAGCCTCAAGCAATCAACTGCTGGGTGATCCATGTCTAGATCCCCAGTTCCCTGGGTCACTAATGCATTCCACCTGAAACAATGTGGCAAAGTGCTGTGTGTGGAGGAGATGTAACCTGAGAAAAGAGGTGTGATCATGAGAAAGTGCTTCTCTGTGTCATACATGTAGCAGAGTTGCTGCTGAGTGCATGCGTTCTTTAAAATATGCCATTCCGAAAGCAGCAAGCAAGAACTCTTTGCAAAATGTATTTAACAAGTCATTCTAGAAAGCAGATGATATTTTGCTCCAATATTAAACAAACACTTAAAAATGTTAGCTTCAAACTACTGAAATTAAATTAAAAAAAAGTTCAAAGGTTAAATATTGAGGATTGGCATTGAGAATTAATTATAGCATTTACATGTAGGTCACTAGAGCAGCAAACAGGCGAATAACTGAAGAATCTTCATGACTCAGAGGCCTCAGCTATTTTTTGACAGGAGCTAAAGAAATGTTCACCTATTTCTAATCACTTGTGTTGATTTCATTCTGGTCTGACATTTTAATTTGCCGCTCACAATGTGGTCTCCTTGACAATGAGGAGACCAAAAGCTGACTTACAGACACTTTGCAGAATGCCTTCTCTCAGCGTGCAAGCATGACCCCAATTTTCTGGCTGCTTACCATTTTAATTTATTACCTTGCCTCAGCTTGCTGCAATGTACCAATGAAGCTATAAGCTTCATCTGCCACTTAGGCACTTAACAGCCTTAACAGATTCAACATTTGAGTTTAATGCCTGCAGGCCATGAACTCTGTCCTCCATTTTGATTTTACTTGCCAAGTGCCAGTCTGTATCCTGTTTTCATGTCTTGCTTTCACACATGGCTGTCCTTCATTCTGCCACTTTGGACTGATGCTTCCTTTCTTTACTCCAACCGTTAGTGTTGCCCTCATTTTAGGTCCATGGTGTCTTTAATATTTAATCTCTGGCCCTCTAGTTTCTTCTACCTGACCCCATCTCCTTTTTAACAGAATGAAAATCATTACTTTTCTATCTCCCTTCACTTCCAAAGAAGAGTCAAATTGGAATTGGTGTGTTAATTTTGTTTTCATCTCCACAGGGGCTAGACCAGGCTTTTCTAGGACTTTGTGCTTTTATTTTAGCTAGAATGTTTCTGCTGTATTGGAACAGGCAGGTTTAGAGAAATCCTAAATGTTCCAAACCAGTAACACACAATACACGACTTGCTACCTTACAAAAGACATGCTTAGGTAAATACTGATGTACTATGGGAGCAGGGAAATGCCAAATTTCTCACTTGTGGGTGATGGAAATCAATTTGTATTACACAAATCTTTCACTTTGTGGAATTGATTTGATCATTCCAGTCTCACCATTAACCAAATATAGATTGATAAAAGCATTTAGTCAGACTAATTCTAAGTGAGTTTCAAAAGTGAATGTATTGAAAGTTACCTTTATTCATTCGCCTCTCCAGTTAAATATCTTCTCCCTGACTCGAAATGTTAGCTGCTACTAGCCATCTCTCGAGAATGAGAGAGCCACCTATGGTCCAGTTGGTCTATGGTGATTTTACCTTTCACCTTCATTCTAACTGTTCTGTCTGAATCTGTCATTTCGTTTTAACATTTTCTTCATTGCTTCAATAACTGAATTCTGAAAATACTTATTTGGCTATGGAGCACTTTAAGATATCCACTCTGGTCATGAAAAGAATGATATACATGCAAATCTTTCTTCCTTTCTTTTTTTTTTAGTCTAATTCTAATCTTTTTCCTCCCATATTTTATTTAACATGACTTCTGTACCAAAACATGATTTCTAATGAAACTGTAGACTTGCAGTTCTGCTGTGAGATGTGCATTAGTTTTTTGATATATTATGCAGCAAACATGGACTAATACTCTCATGAACATGAATTCAGGTTTCACTAATGGCTTGTCAGGTCTGTTTCAAGAATCTGAAGATATAGAAAAAAGTTGTATGAATAAATGTGACCATGACAATTCAATGGCTTCATAAAAGAGTAAACTGGTTCACTGACCCCAGACCAATGTAAAATAATTTGTGATGCAGAAAATAATGAACAGAGAAATTTCACCTGAATTAGCTAAGCAATGCAATAACAAAGAACTTCCTTTATGTAAAATCTTCTACATCCTCAGGATGTCCCATAGAGCTTGAATAGCCAATTAATTACTGTTTAAGTATAGTCACTCTTGTTATGTAGGCAAACACAGCAGCCAATTTATACACTACAATGTTCTCTAGTCAGTAAATAAAAGAAATGACCAATTTTAGTTGTGTTGTTTGAGAGACACTGGAATCTCCTCTGTGAAAAGTGCTATAGAATCCTTCACAACTGCCAGATGGTTTAATGCTTTTTCTGAGCGGAGGCACCTCTGATAATGTAATACTCCAGCAGTACTCACTGAAGTGCAAGCTTAAACTATGTGCTGTGTTGCTGGAGTGGGACTTGAAGCTAAACTTATCCTTGTCGTACCACTGAGCCAAACTAAAGATATTGACCTGCACAATTCAAACACTAAGCACATGTTTACACTTAAACCCATAATAATTATTCCCCAAACCTGCACTTCTAACTTCTGACAGCACAGAGCAAAGAAAGTTTTTCGAAGGAAACTTCATTCTTTAAATCTCAGCAGGTTAGGAAGTTCGATTCCATAAACAAATGTTGCAATGATGGATGTTACAATTTTAAGCAGAACAACAATTTGAGAATTGATGCTGGTGGTAATGGCATCTACTGTCATTTTAAATTGTGGGAGTATTCTGCAGCTTCTAAACATTAATATGGGCCATATATTTTAAATGGTAAAGATGATATGATGCTAACTGGCAATGATCAGTCTTATTTTGACTTGTGACATGCCTGTCCCTTTAAGAGAATGGCAATTCATGTACACAGGAAGCTGTGTTACTGGTTTCTGTCCATTCCACACATGTGCAGCACTAATTTGGACAGAAGTTTGCTTCTTTATTTGGTGTGTCCAGGCAGTTACAGGTCAGAGACTTCAACAATAGGTGTCAATGTTTAAGTGGTCCAGCTGTGGCATTTTTCCAGGGTGGTCCTGCGTCTATTTGTCTTTGAGCCCCCTTCCCTGTGAATAAATGGGAAAATATGCTCAACTTCTTGGATAATCTGAGCAGAATCTGTCTCCTCAGATGCTGTAATTTTTTTGACATCTGAAAATCTTAAGTTTAGTGACCCTGAATCTGCAAAATCGGTTCCCAGGAAGGTTCCTGCCATGCAATATGGACAACATCCTTAATTTGAATATTACTGATGTACATGTAATCTTTCCCTTAAATGAAATAAACAATGTGTTGGTAACATTTTTGGTGTCAACACTGTGTAAACACAAGTTGCCCTGCAATTACTGTTCTGCTTCCTTTATTACTGCTGACGTCCAAAATAATCAGGAGGAACACCATGGAAGTCACAGAAACAATCCATTTCCTTCAAGCTTTCCTGCTGAATAATTACTTCCTGTGTTTATCTGTTATCTGCTTCCTGTGGTTTATTTCCACATGTTTCTGTTACATAGAATGGGGGCTTTACCAAACGTCTCTGACACCAAAAACAGCTACACATGATCTGACAGTTTGAGTTTTTGTTTGGCTGCCTTGGATTCACTTGGAGTCCCAAAAGGAGAAAGTAATAATTTACTCCAGTTGACTGCCTTCTTTCATGCACACTTCAAGGTAAAGGTGTTTGTACATTAGGTGCGTGGGATAATGGGAATTCATGGAGTTCCTTTGATTTCCAAGTAAAAGGGGAATAAAATCCAGGATTCACTGAACACTTTCCAAATTGACTTTTTACCTTGTCTGGTTGAGATGATCAAATGCTTTCAGTCAAGCAGGAAAATTAATTATTTGCACTCTTGTTTCAAAGATTGTGTTTGAGAGTTGTGTGTTTGACTTGTCAAGTTGAATTTAAACTGAAGATAAACCCTTGGCTTTGGGTGAGCGAGAGCGACTAAAGTCTGAGAAATTTCTTTTCCGATGCTGCTCGCCTCTATCTCATCCAAAACCAGTTTTAACAGAAGCTGGAATGTGGCCAGTTAGCCCCAGCTGGTGCCATTCCTTTTCTCGACACCAGGATCCAATTTTGTACTCAATCCAACAGCATCTGATTCCTTACAGTGCCAGCCCAGACTGATCCTTGATCCCACCCCTTCCATCACTTACCCAACCGTCCATTTTATAGGCAATGGTTCCTCACTAGCTCACTACCTAACGCTGGTAGATGGCTATCCAGGCACTGATTCTGTTTCACCCATTGATCCTCAAGGCCCTGATCCTTACAGCACCCCGATCCCCCTCCCGACACTCATCTCATCACATCGGATTAGGGAGCACTCAATGATTAACTACCAGAACCGTCATGATGATTGCTGCCCTGCTCCTTACTTCAATCAGCCCACCTCAATCACCCTCCTCTACTTAAACCCTATAAAAAACAATATATCCATCTGACGTACAAGAGGAAAAAAGGGATTTACTTTTATTCATTCAGTGGGTGTGGACTTTCCTGGCTTGGTCAGCATCTATCACCTATTCCTAATTACATTTGAGAAGTTGCTGGTGAGCTGCATTCTTGAACTGCTGCTGTACATTTGGTGTGCAGATATCCATAATGTTCTTGGGGTGACAGAGATGAAACAGCAACATATTTCCAAGCAAGGATGATGAATAGTTTGGAGACGAACTTACTGGTGGTAATGTTCCCATGGCATCTGCTGCAATCCCTCTTTGATATGGGAGTCGTCATGGGTTGCTGGAGTTGTACTCATTCCTGATGTGTGCATTGTCAATGGTGAACTGGTTTCTGGGGAGTCAGGAGTGAGTTACTCACTGCAGGATTGCTCGTGTCTGACCTGCTCTTGTAGCCACTATATTGATATGGCTAGTCCAGTTCAGTTTCTTGTGAATAGTAACAGCCAGGATGTTGATAGTGGGGATTCAGTGATGGTAATCCAATTGAATGTCAGGACATAATGGTTAGATTCCCTCTTCACAGCCTACCCAGGGCCTACCTTCTGGGTAGATGGTAGTGACAGAGTGAGGGATGTGCCAAGCTATGAGATTGCTACTGTGTTCGAGTACAATCCTACTGCTGGTAATCACCCAAAGTGTCTCATGGATACCCAATCTTGAATTTCTAGATTTGTTCAAAATCTACCCCATTTAGCATGGCAATAGTGCCACACATACCCTAATGCAGACCTTATCCTTAAAACCAGCACATAATAGATGATGGGTCATTTGTGTCAATTAAACAGGCAGGTGAAATTGTCAAAAACATTGAATCCTTTTATGCAAAAATACCAATTAATATCAGCCATGAGCTTATTAAATAGCAGAGCAGACTTGAAGGGCTGAATGGCCTACTCTTGTTCATAGGTAATGGATGGCTGTTAATAACAGTAAAAAAGAAGGAAGGTAAGATACCTAATCCACTGAAAGTTTACTTTAATTCTCTCAAACATTAGGACAGCTTCATTTAAATATTACACATAGATTGGGCATTCTATTTTAAAAACCATAACGATACGTTGCTCTCCAAAAACTAAAAAGGATTACGGAAGAAATTAGAAAATAAAATTAAGACATAATTAAACATTTTTCTTGGCAAAGCGATGATTGAGTGGGAACATAATTTTATCTCACTTAATTTTAATTATAATGCTGACAAAGGACACACACAAAACTGATAAGCTCGAATGAAATCGAATGAATAATATGTTCTTTGCAAAGGTATTTGGAATTGTTTCCATCAGAAGCAGTTAGTGATTGATTTATTTAAAAGAGTATGTTATGCGGACAAGAGCAGGATTGAAGCTGACATATAGATGCCCAAGTAATGTACAGACAACATGATGGGCTGGGATTTTTGAATCCCAAAGGTAGCAGGACGTGTGGTGGGTGGATGAACTGAATCAGATAAAAGACAAAAAAATCAGATTTTCACTGTCAAGCTAAATTTCAAAAATTAAGTTCTCCCCCTGCCTCGGGTAGCAGATTGAGTATGTCACCATTGAGCAGAGAGTAACCTATCGGATTACAATATCATCTCATTAAAACCACAATTCATAGGAATTAACTTCACTTGCCCAATTAACTTTTACTCAATTGAGAAACTTCAGACATCCAACAGCTAAAAGCTAAAAGCAAGCATTTTCCTATGGACTGGCATGTCTTCCAAGACTTTAGGGCAAGTTTTTGTTGCTTTGTCCTTAGATAAGGAATTAAATGATTCTTCCATTCACTTGCATTGTAAAGCTACCCAAGTGTAGACAAGGAGTTCAAGTGGAACAAGGCTGCCTGTCTCCATAGGCCATCTCTGGTTGATAGCAAAGAGCAGGTACCTTCAGGCTGAAGTGCATGGAGCCCATGAAAGCAGCAAACAGGGAATGCCCCTGTGTCTGAACTGATAGAGCCCTGAAAGCAATACAGAGCAGAAACTGTGGCTGAAGGGCTTAGAACTGTAAAGTGGGAAAAGTGAAGAATGACAGCTCCAGTTCATGCTTCAATCAGTCCAAGGGAATGAAGAGGTGGGGGTTGGGGGCTCTTCTGTGCTCCAGTCAGTGTGGGCTGTCATGCTCTAATTAATCCAGAAGGTGGTGCTGTAGTCAGCCTGGGGGACACTGCCGTAATCCATCCAGAGGGTGGTCCGACAGTGAGTTCTGGCATTTGTCTTGCAATCAGAGGAGCAGGCAAGCCAAGGAGCTTGTGATAGCCAGAGTGACATTCGTAGTTGATTGTTGAGTAATTTTACCTCTTGCTTATTCACCTTTGAAATTCTGAAAATATGTTTAAGACACGGCAGGGCAGCTTAGCTGTGTGGAATGCCAATCCTGCCAACTTTTATGACTTATGTTCACATACTCATCTCTCTGCTACTGTGCACCCATGAGAATAGTGCTTTAGAATTCATAGTGTCTCTCTATATTCTTAGTACCAAAGTTAATCACCTCACATTTCTCATTTCTTTTTTTTTCTGGCACTGTACTGATTTTGAAATTGCATGTATGGTCCAGCCCTTCTCCTGGTCACCCTTCCTGCCACCCTTTCAGCAGCTCCAGTAAGTTACTTAATTACAATGTTCCTTTAACAAATCCATCCTGAGTCTTCTGAATCAATCTTCGTTTCTCCATGGCCATTAATTTTATCCTTACTGATTACTTCTGAAACCTGCCCCACCACTAAACTTAAACAGTGGCTTGCAGTTGCTGGGCCAAGCTTTACAAACACTTTTGAACAAGGTGGAATATTTATAATTCTCCAATCCCCTGGCACCACTACTGAACCCAGGGAAGATTGTAAGGTTAGTGTCAGCGTCTGTTGCTTTTTATACATATACTCTGCTGTTTGCGTAAGTTTCACACGGGCAGAAAACAGAGATCACATCCGGAGTGAGATGCAGCCTGATTGAGTGTATAGTTCGGGGAATCTGGAGGCAGTGTGGGAATTTGGTGAAGAGGGGAAAAGGTGCTTTTTGCTGGCATTGTTTTGACACATTGTTTGTATATTTTTGTTTGACAGGATAAATTGAAGGTAATGATGAAGAGTCCAACTCAGAAGAGTGATATTACAGGTAAACTTACGTTCATTAGCTGGTGATAGCTACTACTTTGATTATCTATTATACATTATTTTCAGATTGAAGGTAAATTAGGGAAATATTTATGGGTTACAAGCTTAAAAAGACCAGCGCAATTTTTTTATGAAATCACTTTAAGAACTAAGTAATTAAAATAGAGATACAGAGCCAGGTGATGTGTTGCATGATGTAGAGCTGGTGGACTTCATTGTGGTTCGTAGTAACCACATCCCTAGGAAGTGTTGGCTGCTTGAGGAACTCCAGCTCAGAATTGATGAGCTGGAGTCTGAGCTTCGAATGTTGGAACACATCAGGGATTGGGAGAGTTACGTGGACTCTGTGTTTCAGGAGGCATTCACACCCCTTAGGTTAGCTTGAATTCGGTCAGTGGTCAGCGACAGGAGGGTGTGACTATAAATGAGGCAGGTAGAGGGATCCAAGAGGTTGTCTAACAGGTTTGAGATTCTTGCTGCCTGTGTGGATGAGAGCAAAGGCTGTAGCGAGCATGAGCAAAGTTACCACAGGACCATGGCACAGGGAGTCATTCAAGAGTGGTGAGGATATAGAAATGTATTGTAATTGGGCACAGTATAGTCAGGGGAATAAACAGTGTTCTCTACGGCCAGGATCGAGATACCCGAAAGCTGCGTCTAATCCCTAGGTTCAGAATATCTCAGGGACAAATACAAAGTTTCTGGAAAATCTCAGCAAGTCTGGCAGTGTGGCAGCATCTGTGAAGAAAAAAATCAGAGTTAATGTTTCGGGATATTCTTCCTCAGGATATCTCATCTGGGCTGCGGATGAACTCAGAGTGGGAGGGGAAAGATCCAGTTGGCATGGTCCATGTAAGTACCAATGATGTAGGTGGAAAGAGGAAAGAGGGTCTGCTGGGGGAATATGAGCAGCTAGGGGCTAAATTAAAAAAGCAGAACCAAAAATGTAATAGTCTCTGGATTATGACCTGAGCCATGAGCAAACTGGCACAGGATCAACAAGATTAAAGTACACAATGTCTCAAAGATAAGGGCGGCAATGTGGCTCAGTGGCTAGCACTGTTGCCTCACAGTGCCAGGGACCCGGGTTCGATTCCACCCTCAAGCGACTGTCAATGTGGAATTTGCACATTCTCCCCGTGTCCGTGTGGGTTTCCTCTGGGTGCTCCGGTTTCCTCCCACAGTCCAATGATGTGCAGGATAGGTGGATTGGCCATGCAAAATTGCCCATAGTGTTCAGGGATGTGCAGATTAGCTGGGTAATATGGGAGTGGGTGGGATGCTCTGAGGGTTGGTGTGAATTTGTTGGGCTGAAGGGCCTGTTTCCACACTGTAGAGATTCTGTGATTATTGGTGTGGGAGAAACAGGTTTGATTTCATGGGACATTGGCACCAGGACTGGGGAAGGAGGGAACTGTTCCACGTGAATCATGCTGGGACCAGAGTCCTGGCGAATTGCATAACTAAGGCTGTGGTTAGGGCTTTAAAATAAATAGTACTGGGGGAGGGTGTCAGTTGCATGGGAAATTATAGAAAAAGTAAAAGGGTGAGGGGTCAGCAGACAGTGTTAAAGTTTCTGGAACAAATAATTGGACAAGACACATGGAAAGAAAAAAATAACAGAAGTAGCGGGAAAAGCCAAGCAGATCTGGCAGCCTGTGAAGAAAAGATCAGAGTTAACGTTTCAGGTCCGGTGACCCTTTCTCGGAAACATTAACTTTGATTTTTTCTTCACAGACACTGCCAGACTTGCTTAGCTTTTTCAGCTACTTCTGTTTTTGTTCCTGATTTACAGCATCCGCAGTTCTTTCGGTTTTGATAGAGATATGGAAAGGATCAGGAATCTAGCTTCATGCAGATGAGGGGACAATGATGAGAAGGGAGGCAGTCAATGCAGGACTGAGAGTGTTGTACATAAATGCACATAGTATATGAAATATAAACAAGCTTATAGCGCTGATTGAAATTGGCAGGTACCATGCTGTGTGTATCACAGAGACACGGCTGCAAGAGAATCAGGGCTGGGAACTAAAGATGCAAATCCTATTGAACGGACAGGCAGGTGGGTAGAGGGAACAGGATTTGCCTTTTTGGTTGGAAATGAAATTAAATCGATAGCAAAAAGTGATACAGAGTCGGAAGGCGTAGAATCTGTGTGGGTAGAGTTGAGGAGCCAAAAGGAGAAAAACTCGAAACAGTTGTGAGACAAAAGAGAAGGTTGAGGCTAGTAGAAAAATTAAAGTGAGCAAGTTACATAGACAAGGCAGGCAAGAGCACGGCAGGGAACAAGGGAAGACTGATAAATTAAATTGCATTTATTTCAATGTAAGAGGTCTGACAGGTAAGGCAGATGAATTCAGGGCATGGCTGAGAGCATGGGGCTGGGATATCATGGCTATTACAGAAACATGGCTGAAAGAGGGACAGGAATGGCAGCTCAATCTTCTGGGGTACAGATGCTATAGCTAGGATAGAAGGGGAAGGAAGAGAGGAGGGGGAGTGCTATTTTTGATAAGGGAAAAATCATGGACTTAGTACTTAGAGATGATATTCCTTAGATATTGTCCAATGAAGATATATGGGTAGAATGGAGAAATAAGAAGGGGGTGATAAGAAGGGAGTTCGAGGCTTGGATAGGATCAATTTGTTAAGTACGTTCAAGAAAACCTTCTCAATCAATATGTAGATGGTCCTACCAGAGAAGGGACAAAATCTGACCTCCTCTTGGGAAATAAGGCAGGGCAAGTGACTGATCTTTTAGGGGGGAGCACTTTTGGATCAGTGACCATAATTCTATTAGCCTTAATCAAATAGCAGAGTAGACTCAACTGGCTATATGGCCTGATTCTGCTCCTAAGTCATAAAGTCTTATATAAGGTGTGTAATTTAGTTATATTTTAATTAGTATCTTATGGCATGTAGATAATGATCTGTATAGCTAAATAAGTTGACTTTTAACTTGTTGGTATTTCTGTAGCCGTGGTGATGTATTTTTAAAAAGTCTGAGGGAGATACTTCTTGGAGGCTAATGGCAATTTATATACATTGGGAGAGCTTTTACAAGTAAACGAAATAAATAGTTGTATAGCTTTCAGTTTAAAAAATCAAAGGTTTTTTTGCTTTTAATTTGGAGAAACACTCGCAGCTTGAAAAAAGCTTTTGGATTTCAGTTTGGCAGGGTTTGCAGAAGCTTTGGCTTAAGCTGGATGTCTAAAGCTATTGCTCCTAGAGAAGGGAGATCATTTAAATATATAAGAAATAGGTTGCTGCTATGTAAGGAATTGCCTTTTAAAGTCCAAGACCAGAAGTGTTTGGTCGAAACTTTGAGGAAGGTATTTAAAGTTGAAAATGTCTATACTCAATTGTAAAAAAGGTTCAAGGAAGATGTGATCAGATTCTTCAAACCAGGAAATGAAGGTACAATTATGGTAAATGCATGTATAATATGTATAGTTGAGAAGAAAATTTGCTGTAGTGTTTGAGTACTGTAAAGGAGTGTTGTTGGGATTATTGGGATTGTATTTTACTTTGTGTTTTGAAATTTTTCGGACTTATATATAATTAGCTTGATTTATTCTACTTTATCTTCATTTCTTTTGTGAAATGAACTTCTGTTTTACTGTTAAAACCAAATCTATAGATTTGCTTGTTCGTATTTCTCCATCTAAAAAAAACAAAATACTATCCATCAGGCTTGATACCAGTCTCGGATTTGACTTGCACAGTATTAACATCAGCTGGGAACATAATAGCCTAATGGGCATAAAACATGCCATGCTGTGCCATAATCTCAAAAAGACAGATCCCATCCAAGTTCAAATCAGTGTATTCATTCCAAATGTTTGAATCTCTTGTCTTTAAATAAATTATCACCTCCATTTGAAAAGGCAGGCAAAGTAATTCCATCCAAACATGATAATGTGTCCATACGCTAAAAGTACAAAATGCAATCTCACATCCCAAAATTTCAATTAAAAATACAATTGATATACCAACCCTCCCCTGCTGTAGTGCACAAATAATATTCCTGCATACCCAGTACAATTGAAATCACATTATCTGTACTCGGGTATTTCTGTGTATTCAAATAAGATTTAGTCTTGCTCTTCACCGTATACCATATTTGTTGAAAGAAATTATTCATATTAATGGCTTCTGATGATTGCAAATTGCAAGTCGATTAAAAATACCCGTCACTCTTGGTGAAGAACATACCGTTCATTTGACTTCACTCAAGCTTGTCAGCTTTGCATTTGTCCTTCATCAGAATTAAAGCGAGATGATATTATGTTCCTTCTCAATCAACACATTGACAAGAAAGGTACACTTTGTTCAGTTTTAATTTAGAAATTAATCTCTTTTATCATTCTTTTCAATTTTAGGAGAGCAACAGACCAGTATGGTATGGTTTTAAAAATAAAATTTCCACTTGCATTCCTGGGAGGCTTCTCTGAATCTAGATACCTCCAGAATGCAGTGCGATTTACAAAAGGAAAGTGGGAGGTGAGGACATGGGAATCTATTTGCCTCCAATTAAGGCCCCATAAGCTCCCTGCGGAGCTTGTTAAACGTTGTGGAGGGGCCGAAGCATCCAAATCCGAGTGAACTGAGAATTTTTGTATCATTCAATGAAACATGTCCAGACATGCGGGATTGTTCATGGATTCTACACACTCATAGGTTATGAGAACATAGGTACACGAATGGGTAATTCAGCACATTGAGCCTGCTCCATTATTCAACACTATCATGAAGGACAGAGCACTTCAATGTGTTTTACCCGTGCTATCCCCATAACCTTTTATGCCATTGACAATCATGTAAAACATCAACTTTTATCTTAAATATAATCAAAGACTGAGCCTTCACAGCCCTATAGGGGGAAAGAATTCCAAAAGATTTCCCATTTTTTGAGTAGAAAATAATTCCCTTCACCTCGGTCCTAAAAGGCATCCACCTTATTTTCAAAGATAGTAGGAACTGCCGATGTTGGAGAATCAGAGATAACAAGGCGTAAAGCTGGATGAACACAGCAGGCCAAGCAACATCAGAGGAGCAGGAAAGCTGACGTTTCGGGTCTGGACCCTTCTTCAGAAGGGTCACCTTATTTTCAAATTGTGACTCCTGGATGTGGGCCCCCTGTTTGGGGAAACAGCTTACCCGCATCTACTCGGTCTATCCCTTTTCGAACTTTCCAGGTTTCAACAAGATTACCTCTCATTTTTCAAAACTCGAGAGAATACAATTCACGTTTGATCAGTCTCCTTTCATTGGACAGTTCCACCAACCATGGTGAGCCTTCATTGCGTTCCCTCAATAGCAATACAGCAAACGTTGCATTAACCGGCACCTTATAAACCAGCACTCATGAAAAACTAGCAAAAATCATATAACTGAAATACCAGAAGTTTAGTGTATTATCATCATCTCTGCGATGTCCGAGTAGTCAGTTGAGGATTTGAGTGAGAAGGCTCTCTGCTGGTAAGTTTTATTTAAGGCAAAGTTGTTTAAATATGTAAGTGATTTATGCTGTAAATAAAGTCTAACAGTAATGTGTATACCCCATGCATTACATTTCTATCACTTAGTATGGGTTTTTAAATTGGTTATGTTGACTTCTTGATCAAACTAAAGAACTTTAGGTGGGGAAATCATCCATCCTTACCTGATCTAGCCTACATATGACTCCTGACCCACAGCAACTTGGATGACTCATCCTTTTTTAAATTATTCATTCACAGGATGTAGGCATCACTGGCTAGGCTAGCTTTTAATACCCATCCCTAATTGCTTAGAGGGCAGTTAAGAGTCAACAATAAAAACAGAAGTTGCTGGAAAAGCTCAGCAGGTCTGGCACCATCTGTGAAGAAAAAATCAG